TCAGTAGTACTAACGGTACTCTCAGTAGTACTAACGGTACTCTAGGGAGTACTAACAGTACTCTCAGTAGTACTAACGGTACACTAACAGTACTCTCAGTAGTACTAATGTACTCTAGGGAGTACTAACAGTACTCTCAGTAGTACTAACGGTACACTAACAGTACTCTCAGTAGTACTAATGTACTCTAGGGAGTACTAACAGTACTCTCAGTAGTACTAACGGTACTCTCAGTAGTACTAATGGTACTCTAGGGAGTACTAACAGTACTCTCAGTAGTACTAACGGTACACTAACGGAACTTTCAGTAGTACTAACGGTACTCTAGGGAGTACTAACAGTGCTCTCAGTAGTACCTTGTCCTGAGTCGTAGGGGTAGAAGAAGGCGATGATGAGGTTGATGAAGACAGCGAGGTTGAAGGAAATGGTTCCCCATAGAGACATCCTCCTGGAGAACCAGTACAACACAGGCATACCTGCAATACACACAGGTACACACAATATATACACAATGTACACACACAGGTACAGAGTGAAACTGCTTAGGATCTTAATATTTTAGTGTGTGTGTGTGTGTATGTGTTACAGGGTGATACAGTGTGTGTTGTGTGTGTTACTGTGTGTTACTGTGTGTATTGTGTGTGTATTGTGTGTGTTACAGTGTGTTACTGTGTGTGTTGTGTGTGTGTTACAGTGTGTGTTGTGTCTTACAGTGTGTTACAGTGTGTGTTGTGTGTGTTACTGTGTGTGTTGTGTGTGTTACAGTGTGTTGCTGTGTGTGTTGTGTGTGTGTTACAGTGTGTGTTGGACTCACTCCTGAGCTTCTTCTGCCACTCCATCTCTCCGTGCAGGAAGGATGTTTGTGCGAAGAAGTGTGTGACCTTTGACCCCTGCTCGTCCTGCTCCGTGGTGTTGAACACTCGGGTCTTTGACTCCTCCGTCAGGAACTCACAGATGGGATGGACAGGAAACACAATCTGCTCCATGCTGCGGTCATCACGGACGATCTGTCACAACAATTGTCACTGTCATCATCATCATCATCATCGTCGTCATCATCACCATAACCATCATCATCGTTATTATCATCACATGGAGTCAACAACTAACCCATCTCCATGACAACAGAGCCAAAGCTCCTGAGGATGCCCACCAGGATGAAGGCTTGAAGGGAAACACTGGTCATGTTTTACCTGGACTCAGTTTCCCATGATTCTGTGTGTCAGTGTCCGAGACAACGACAGCTCTGACATGTTGTATCACTGTATACAGGAACACTGAACAGGTAGTGTCAATACCTCTATCTGTGAGGTGAGCTGGTCGTAGAACTCCAGTGGGTCCTGTTCCACCACAGCAGCTGGAGCTGTGGACTTCAACATCTGGGACAGAGGACGGTTGTTCAGGTTCAACTGTGGACACAAAGCACAGGGTGAGGACTACTAAAGTAATCAGAGTACTGCTCAGAGTACTGCTGGCATTAGACGGGTGTTGACAGACACCTGTCTAATGCAGACAGTACTCAGACAGACAGACAGACAGACACTGAGACAGACAGACAGACAGACAGACAGACAGACAGACAGGTTACCATGGAGGAGATCCCCTCGTCGCCCTCTATATTTTTTTTCGGAGGTTTCAGGAGGTTCTGAAGGACCTTGTTGTGTCTGGCCAACTGCAGACAGACGAACAAACAAACAAACAAACAAACAATAGGAGCATAAAGTTATTCACAGAACAACAAACTGTGGCTGAGACAAGAGGAGAGTGAAACCTCCTGTCAGCCAATCACAGAGCACAGAGAGGTACTACGAGCCAATGAGGAGCTTGTGTTCGGTCACCTGCTGAGCCAGGATGTAGATGTTGTGTCCCACCTCCCGGGGGGAGACCTCCACCCCCTCACACTCACTCTCCTGATGGTAGGCCTTCTTTATCACCTCTACCTGTCGATGTGCACACACATACAGACAGACACAGACACAGACGCGTACACACACACAGAGTTAGATGACATGTGAACACACACACACACACACACACACACACACACACACATCAGTAACATGAAATCAGTAGGAGAGAGTGGTACCAGCTCTCGGGGTCGGAGGTTGAACAGGATCCTCTCTGCGTTCTCGCTGTCATGGCGACTCTCCATCAGAGCCAGCAGCAGCTTGGAGGCGTTGTCCTGGTAACGGAAAAGAAAACAGCAGCAGGTAAACAGGTAAACAGCTGTGACTCTGACAGGTGGGGTACCTGAGCAGGTAGAGTACAGAGTACCTGAGCAGGTAGAGGACAGAGTACCTGAGCAGGTAGAGGACAGTGTACCTGAGCAGGTAGAGGACAGTGTACCTGAGCAGGTAGAGGACAGAGTACCTGAACAGGTAGAGGACAGTGTACCTGA